CTGCCTGTCTCTGCCTCTAAGTGCTGGGATTAGCACCACTATCACCAGCTACTTTATTTGCTTATTTTAGACAGGGTCTCATAATGAAGCTCTAGCTGGCTTGGAAATTTTATGTTGACCAGGTAAGCCTCCAACTCACAGAGATCTGCTTTCCTCTGTCTCCTGAGAGGGCTGGGATTAAAGGGCATGTGTAGGTTGGCCTTGAATTCCTGGGTTTAAGCAATCCTCCTGCCTAGGTTTCCTGACTAGCTGGGACTAAAGATGCTTGCCACCTTTATAACTCCTCCATAGCCTCTCCATTAGCTCCTGTTTCCTGCCTCCTGCCTTGATTTGTCTTGGGTGATGGGCTGTAAGATGAAATAAACTCTTTCCTCCTCAGGTTACTTTTGTTAACAGTGCCTCATCATAGCAATAGAAACCCCAACTAAGACAAGCATCCTTTCTCTTTAATACAGAATAATATTCCATTATGTCACTATAGGATGTTTCTATTCATCCCTATGCTCCATCTCAGATCTACCCCCAGTCTCCCCACCCACCCAACTTTGTGTTGAAATGCATGCTTGAATGCATGCTCTGATGAGTGTGCTTGCTCTCTGTGTCTTAAACCCATCAAGCTCAGTTTGTGTTGGCAGAGGGTCTGCCCTGGAGTGTGATTCTTGCACCAGGGGTCATGCCTTTAAAGAAAGCTGACTCTCTCCCAGCAGCTGTCAAAACCAGCAGCTTTTCAGCTAGAGGTGGGACTGTGTGGTCACCTCCCCTCCTCTATGCTGGGATTTTTTTTTTACTTTAACTTGGATAGGTTTTATATATGTTGTCATAATCACTGTAATTTCTTTTTTTCCCTGTAATTGAATATCTTTATTACATTGGTTCACTTATAAAAATGCCACACCCTTTTCTTCTGTTTGAAACTATACCAAATCATTTTATTATGGTGCTCTTAATTTGAATCACTATAATTCCATATGTACATCTGCCTGCTGTGTCTGGAAAATGCTTGGGGCGGGGATTAAGGGTTTTGTTTGGTTGGTTGTTGTTTTTTTTTGTCATCCATGTGTCACATTTTCTTTGTCTTTTCATCTATCAGTGGGTATTCCAACTGTTTCCATATCTTTTAGTTAGTTTGTTGAGACAAGATTTCTCTGTGTAGCCCTGGCTGTCCTGGAACTCACTCTGTAGACCAAGCTGGCCTGAAACTTGGAGATCCCCTGCCTCTGTCTCTCAAGTACTGGAATTAAAGGTGTGTGCCACCACTACCTGGCTGTTTCCTCTTCTTGATGGTTGTGAATCATGATCCACTGAACATGGAGGTGCAAATATCTCTTGAAGATTCCAATTTCAGAGCTGGAGAAAGAGCTCAGTGACAGAAGACTTGCTTAATGTGTATAAGACTGAATCCCATCCCCAGCACCTCAAATACACACACTCCAAAAGATCCTTCAGATCATTGGTTATACACTAGCAGTGAGATCCCTGTATCATGTAATCTTGTTTAGTTTTTTTCCAGGAATTTCTCTTTTTTTCAGTAACAGTCGTGCCATTTTACAGCTCCACCAGCAATGTAGCAGAGTTCAGACTTTTCTACATCGATGTTTTAAAATTTGCATGTCTTTAATGATTTAATAGTCCCGAGAATCTTTTCATTTCCTCCCAGTGCTGGAGCTGGAATTTAGAGTCTTAGACAAGCTAAGCAAGTGCTCTGCCACAAAGTTACACCTCCAGTCTTGTTTGTGGTTTTCTTTGAGGTAGGATCTTGCCACATAACAAAATTGACTTCAAACTCGGGGATCATCTTGCTACAACTTCTGCATGCTGGGAATGCAGACATGATGTTGAGAATTAGTTCATATGCTTATTGGCCATTTCTGTGTCTTTTTGTGGGAAACATCTGTGGTATCTTTTGTTCATTTTTGAGTCAGCTCACTTTTGAAAAATTTTAATTTGTTTTGTGTGTATGGATGTTTTGCTTTCATGTATGTCTGTCAACCAGAGGTCAGAAGATGGTGTTGGATGCCCTAGAACTGGTGTTACAGATGGTTGTGAGCTACAAAGTGGGTTCTGGGAATTGAACCCAGGTCCTCTGGAAGAGCAGCCAGTGCTCTTAACCACTAAGCCATTTCTGCAGTCTGGGTCTGTAGCTGGACTTTTTCATTGGGGCCATCAGCTCCCTAATAATGACAGAGGCTTATTATTAATTACGATTAATTATGAATGCCCAACTGATAGCTTAGGCTCATTTCTAATTAGCTCTTATAACTTAAATTCAACCCATTTCTATTTACGTTTGCCTTGTAGCTTTATTATCTCATCTCCGTGATGCCCATCCTGCTTGCTCTGCTTCTAGCTGGTGACCAAGCAGCCTTCTCAGGGTTTCTCTCTGCCCCCAAAATTCTTCTTAGCTATTAGCCGTTCAGATTTCTTTTAAGATTTATTTATTTATTATGTATACACTGGTCTGCCTGCATGTCAGAAGAGGTCACCAAATCTCATTATAGATGGTTGTGAGCTGCTGTGTAGTTGATGGGAATTGAACTCAGGACCTCTGGAAGAACTATCAGTGCTCCTAACCACTGAGCCATCTCTCCAACCCCCTCAGCTTTTTGTTTTAAAACCAATCACAGTGACACATCTTCACAGTGTACAAAAGATTATTCCACAACATGGGTCCCTGTTTTTGTTGTTAAGTTATATTCTTTTTGGATTTTTTAAAGGATTTTATTTATTATGTATACAACATTCTGCTTCTATGTATATCTGCACACCAGAAGAAGGCACCAGATCTCATAATGGATGGTTGTGAGCCACCATGTGGTTGCTGGGAATTGAACTCAGGAGCTCTGGAAGAGCAGTCAGTGCTCTTAACTGACTGAGCCATCTCTCCAATCTCTATAGTTCTTTATGATATTAACCCTTTATTAGACTTGTGATCTGCAATTATTTTCACCATTTGTTTATTTGTAGACAAGGTCTCACATAGCCCAGGCTGGCCTGGAGCTCATTGTATTTGAAAGGATGATTTTAAACATCTGATCTTTCAGCTTCCTACTGAGTTCTGGGGATTAAACCCCAGGCTACCAATTGAGCTAATATCCATAGCTCCCTATCTCATATCCGTACCTTATTTCATAACTTATAACTATCTCATATCCACATTTCATAGCTCAATCCCAGCACTAGAGAGGTGGAGACAGGAGTGATATCACTGTGGGGAGAGAGGACTGTAAGGAGGGAGGAGACAGGAACTCACTGCATTCAGTGTGAGGGTTCCTAGAGACAGGTTTACCCATTTGGTTTGAGGATTCGGTAGAGGTCTAGTGGCTGGCTCCTTTACTTCTCTGATCTTTCAGCATATACCTCGATATCTGACTCCTGGTTTTTATTATTAAGACCTGTGAGAACTTGTGCTACAGTTACAGTTACCATATGGCTCATACATTGCAAGATAATGGAAAGATGGCCACCAAAAGCTGTTGTATGAATGTCCAAAACAGCACTGTTTGTAATAGCTAAAAAGTGGAAGCAACTCAAATGCTCACAAACTGATGAATAAACCAATGTGCCATATCTACATAGACACCTTTAGCTCACGAATCAAATGAAGTAGTAATACAGACTACCACGACTGAATCTTGAAAATGTTAAGTGCAAGAACTCAGATATAAAAGGACATACTTCTATGTGACGCCATCAGTATAATCATAGAATGTACATATTCCAAGGCAGATAAGCAGTTCCTAGAGATTGGTGGGATAAAGATAGATTAATGAATAATAGGGGATTTCTTTCTAGACTGATGAGGCTTTCTGGACTTAGTGGTGATGGTTGCAAAACCTTATAAATATACTAAAAGCAACTTATTGTATGTTTAAGTAGTATTTTAATAAAAATTATCTTTTGTCTTATGCCTGAAAAACATTACAATTAATTAATTAATGCATATAAAAATTAAAATGTACAAGGTGATGGTGGTGCATGCCTTTAATCTCAGCACTCGGGAGGTAGAGGCAGGCGGATCTCTGAGTTCGAGGCCAGCCTGGTCTCCAGAGCGAGTGCCATAGGCTCCAAAGCTACACAGAGAAACTCTGTCTTGAAAAAACAAAAAACCACAAAGATTATTTTATGTTTTTCACAGTGTGTGTGTGTATGTGTACAGGCACAAGTCACAGTGCACATGTGGATGTCAGATGACAACTTCTGAGAGACCCTTACACTGTGTAGGTCTCAGGAATGGAATTCAGCCTTGACAGCAGGCGTCTTTACCTACTTGCAAGGCTAAATATTAATTTTGTTTTTAAATTTTATTTTTCTATTTGTCCATGCCTGCACACATTCTTCAATGTCATTCCTCAGGTGCCATCCACTCTTTTCAGAGTTAATTTAACATATTTTGCATATATGTATGTGTGTCAGATTGCTAGAACTGAAGTTACAGATAGTGTAAGCCACCATGGGGTGCTGGAAACTGAACCCAGGTCTTCTGTAAGAGCAACAAGTGCTCTTAACTACTGAACCAACTCTCTATACCCAAGCCCAGTTTTTCTTGTGAGATAGTCTCAATATGTAGCCCTCACTGTGTTTTTAGTAGCCTAAACTAATTACACAAGACTACATGTTGACAATAACTTCACTTGAAATACTTAGGCTGCCAGGCAGTGTTGGTGAATGCCTTTAATTCCAGCATTTAGGAGGCAGAGGCAGGCAGATCTCCTGAGTTCAAGACCAGACTGGTCTACAGATCTAGTCCCAGAATTGTCAGGATTTGGGGTTTATTTTGAGACTCACAATGAATTTTGGTCTCAACATGTAGCCTTGGCTGGCCTCCAATTGAAGAAACCTGCTTGCTTCTGCCTTCTAAGTGCTAGCACCACACAACCTGGACTGGTAATACTTTATGTATTCTCTGAGAAATATGAACACAGTGCTACTTTTAGTTACACAATACCTGCTGCTTTGAATTCTTAAAACCAAAAAGTAAAAAAACCCAAACACATTTTGACTTTTGTTTAAAAAAATTGTTTTCACTTTAATGATCTGAGTTAGTAACAAATATACAAAATTGTCTTTCACATTTCCATATATGGTAAAATGGACCAGTTGAAAATTCTGGACTACAAATGCAGGTTTCTTTGTATCCTTAGGCTTAGTTGTTTTATAAATAGAAGTGATTTTCAAAAACAAGCATTTGTGAACACAGATGTCAAAAGTTGTGCAACTGAGTTAATGCACAAACAAGTTCTACATTGTTCATTTGTGCAGTTGTATTCAGTATACCTGACACAGGAGCAGCTATCCTGGGCTATTTCACTGTATTTGAAAAGCATTTTTGTGAAACAAAACATTTAAACAAAAGACTTACATTCTGCAAATACATTAAGATTTGTAACCTACACATCTGAAACAAAGCTGCATCAATAACCCGAGTGCTGACCTCATCAGGGAATCAAGTAGGTAAAGATTGAGTTATGAGAACAGTGAGAAGGAGACTCTCCAACCAGCAATGGACACCAACGCACAAACAAAAACAACTTACAGTTATATCCTTAGACCTATAGGTTGGAATTTATCTGCTTCAAGGAAAATAAATAGTAAATAGAAAAATTAGTTTTAAAATGGAAGCTTTGAAAATAGTCCTAAAGTGTAAACCCATCTATAAATTTTCAAGTTTTAGAAATTTAAATAAATTTATAACTTTCAAAATTAACAAAAATGTATTAAACATTTAAAAAATAGGATTATTTCCCATCTGACCAATATTTTCAATTTGGCAAAATCATAGGAAAATTCTAGTTCAAATTAATGTGACAAATCATCATAAAATTAGACTTATGAGGGATCAACTAGGAATGGGGTTATATCCAAACAGCAAGGAGGCCCTTTTGGCAATCACTCTTCTGGGCTAGTAACAAATATCAGCACAGAACACCTTCTACATGAAGGCACTCCAGGTTGCAATGTGCAGGTGAGAGACTGGGGTGGGGGATGGCACCCAGACCTGGGACATGCTAGCCCAATGCTCTGCACTGAGCTACACCCCCAACCCTCCAGAGCTCTATAGGTAGGAGAGCCCAAACTTTCTTAACATCTGTCCTATGGCAACGTGTGCTTCACCTCTTTATCTACAACCTAAATGTTTTCCTATATTATACATTTAAAATCCCATGGCAAACACCAACTAAATATTTATTTAGCTTCCTACAGAGAAAGGACTGGTATATGGTTATAATATAGTCCTACTTTTCTCTAAGGCCTGAGGTTGAAGTTTTCCTATGCTATATAGAATAAATGAGGTGATAATGCAGCTAAACAACAGGGTCACTGAGGAAGGATCAGAGGACGTGGCCTTCTACATTGTGAATTGCATGTTACTAACAGGAATGCAACTGTAAACTGGTGGAGGGCAACTGCAGCTCAAAAGGAAATGGAAAGCCAGGCATGGTGGCATTCTGGAGGCTGAGGCAGGGGGATTGCCATGAACTTGAAGTCAACTTGGATTACATAGTGAGTTCTAGACCAGCCTGGGCTAAAGTGTGAGACCCTGCTTTAAACAACAAAAACAAAAAAAGAAATGTGTATTTTCATGGTAGATTCATTCATGGAAATGAAGTTCAAATATGTACTTTATTCTTTATAATTCAAGATTCAGGTAAAGGTGTACAGGCATGCCAGCTCCATGTTGGAAACTAATGACTGTGCCCAGGGTCAATATTATCAGAATGGAATATGGCTGTTTCCTGCTCTACTCTGCTTATAAAATGAATCTCATGATTTTTCCCTGCCACTGGCATCTCCCATATGGGTTACATAAAATAAGCCTACTAGCTTGTTCTTGTTCTCAAATAAGCATTTTAAAACTTTCAGAAATGATACATTTGACCCTGGAGAGAAACTTCTATTACTTGGTACTATTAAGTCTAATACCAGGTACAAATGTTAAGGATATTGCTTTTAATAATCACCAGAAATAAATATGTTAGCATAACTCAGATGCTCATTTTCACCCAATGTTAACAGTGTTTTAGTCTTAAATCAAGTGGCATATTAACTTCAATTGTTGTCAGTTTACTGCCTGTTCTCAAAACCAAGACAACAGGCTTATCCAAGTGAGTATGTCATATATGGGCATTGAACAGTAACGCTGCTTTCTAGATGGGGAGTAAGGCACTAAATGGTGGTAAAATAAACAAAAGTATGATGATTTACTTCTTTAGAATCCTAAAAACAGCGATCCTTTAGAATGACACTATTAAATCCTCACAAACAAGGCATCCTGTTGGCAACAAAAAGAAACGATGCAAGGTCATGATGAACCTAATACATTCACTGTCTCTAAACCACTTGAAATGCTGTCAAACTTAAGAAAGCTACACTAGTGTGCGAAGGGGTTAAAGGCACCAAAGGAGAACTCCACTTCCAGTTCTGTGAACTAGGAAAGCTGTGTGTAACACTGCATACCGTCTTATTAATCGGTTTGCCTGTGTGTGTGTGTTTGTGTGTGTGTGTGTGTGTCTTGCAGAAGTTTGTTTTCTTCTTCCACAGTGTGGGTCTTGGGAATCAAACTCCGTTTTTCAGGCTTGGCTGCAAGTGCCTTTACCCACTGGGCCATCAAAATGTTATCAGTTAACTGTCTGTTTGTCCTGGAGCTCACTATGTCCAACAAGCTAGCCTTGAATTCAACCAGGCTGGCCTTGAGCTCACAGAGAGCCACCTGCCTCTGCCTCCCAACTCCTGGGATGGAAGATGTGTGCCACTACACCCAGCAGTAGGAAATTTTTATTTTGACAAATCAGTATAAATCAAGTGCTAGTTTGGTAAGAAATTTATTTTATGAAATATGAAATTAGTGCAGTGTTTCACACAGTCCCATTTATCAAGCTAACCTAATTCTAGCACCAAATGAATATTCTGAGTAACACTAGGGCAAAACAAAAATGGCCAACTTAAGATAGAATCTATAATGCAAATGACATGTACCTACACAGAGTTTACTGAAAACAATAAAGGATAGAAAAATTAAAACCACATCTTCTTTGTGAAAAATACAACTATTAGTAAAATAAAATGTACAATTGAAAAATTTTCAAAGGAAAAAACACTATAAACAAAAATACTTTTCTTTAAGACAGGGAAAATAGTACGTCACTTTTTTTTTTCATCACAATATAACTTGACACAAAAAGCAGTCACAGAATTGCACAGTTCACACCCAGTTTCCTGGCCATGTTAAAGGACTCCATAGAGCAGAGCGCAGCTTCTGAGTTTCATGTTTTAAACTGAAGACATTCTCATACAGGAGGATGTCACACCACACAGGTCTGTTTACACAATGTACAATACTTTCTGAATTGTGACCAGATAAGAACGCTTTCGGCCACCTCTTTTGTTCTGATACTAGCCATGGGGGAAGTCAGGTCACTTCAATGTTACTTCTCTAGCAATAAAATTATACTTAGTGCATGCTTTATCATTTGTCAAAAGACATTTCTGAAAATAAAAACTCAGTCACCCCACAGCTTATGAAATTAGAAAAATCACTCATTGAGATAAAAGGACTGGCTTCCATGGCAGCACCACTGTCCTCAGCAAAGGTCCTGGTCAAAGTTCCCCATGGTAGAGGGCATGTCTGCAAGACACCACTGCTGGAGATTTGATTATCTGACACTATGATATCTCATTAGTGCTAAAAAAAAAAAAGAGAAAAAAGAAAAAGGTGGGATTTTTGTGGCAATGTTAGGAACATTTCTGTTGTACATGATTTAGAAGTTCCCCAAACTTTTCAAATAAGTCCTCCACCCACTTCACATTTTTCATACAAAGTTGAACAATTTCTTCCTGTCCTAAATCTTCATTTTTTTTCTGCACAGACGATATCTAAAAAAGAAAGAAGTTGTTGTATTAGTTTATGCAGGTCATGCTACACTTAAATGCTTTCTAGGCCTTACTAATATACCTGCTGGTACACACTTTTTAAGTTTATTTTTATTTTATATACATTGGTATTCTGCCTGCCTGCATGTCTATGTAAGGGATTCCCTAGACCAGGAGTCACAACTGACAGGTGTGAGCTGCCATGTAGCTGCTGGGAATCAAACCTGGGTGCTGTGAAAGAGCAGCCAAAGTTCTTAACTGATGAGCCATCTCTCCAGCCCCTCCTTATTACTAAAGTGACATGGTCTTGGCTGACTCAGAACTCACCATATAGACCAGGCTGTGAGCTCACAGTGATCCTCCTGCCTCTGGCTCCTGAGTGCTAGGATTAAAGGCATGAACCAACTTTTGAACTAATTGTTTTCACCACTACCCGCCCCCCTTATTCCCAGCCATAGCAAATGATTATTTCAGACAAGTTTTGATGAAATCAACTTCTATAATTTTGGGTCCACAGGGCAGGTAAAAGTCTTGGTAAAGTGCTTCATGCTCTAATTCCTTTCTACTGTATTAAAAACCAAAAATAAATATTGTTTTACATAAAAGGGTATTTTGCTTACATGCATGTATGTGCATACACTTGTGTGCCAAATGCACACATAGGCCCTAAGAAGTGTCAGATTCCTTGGAACTGGAGTTACAGATGGTAACTAGACCATATGTATGTTAGGAATTGAACCCAGGTCCTCTGGGAGAGCAGCTGGTGCTGTAAACTACTCCCAAAATGACAAATACTGATGTCAACTCTATCTCAGATAACTGTAAAAGATAGTTAACACAGGGGGCTGGAGAGATGGCTCAGAGGTTAAGAGCCATCGACTGCTTTTCCAGAGGTCCTGAGTTCAATTCCCAGCAACCATATGGTGGCGCACAACCATCCGTTATGAGATCTGGTGCCCTCTTCTGGTGTGCAGACATACATGGAAGCAGAATGTTGTACACCTAATAAATAAATAAAATCTTAAAAAAAAAAAAAGTCAACACAGCTTGCATCACCACATTTTCTTTCTCCTTGAGACTTATGAACATCTTTTTATTTGAGACTGTTGCCTACACATCCTGTACAGCTTTGTGCTAATTTAACCTGGTAGTTACAAAGCTCAGTACTATTAGGCTAGACAGGCATAGCAGTTAAGAGCAATTGTTGTTCTTGAAGATCTGGGTTTGGTTCCTAGCGTCCACATGGCGGTTCACAACTGTCCGTACTCTAGTTGCAAAGGCTTCTATGAGCCTTCTTCTGACCTCTGAAGACACATTACAAATGTGCATATACATATACACAGGCAAAACACTTAAAAATACAAATTAAAAACAACTATTAAAAACAAAACAAAAAACTTTATAGTATGTGTTAGGATAGATGTTACTGAGCCAGGCAGTGGTGGTACACACCTTTAATCCTAGCACTCAGGAGGCAGAGGCAGGTGGGTCTTTGTGACTTTGAGGCCAGCCTGGTCCACAGAGCAAATTCTAGGAAAGGCAGGACTACACAGAGAAACCCTGTCGGGAAACAAAAAAATAGAAATTCTGATGATTGAGATTAAAGGACTGTGCTACCATGCCCAGCTCAAAACACTATTATGAACTTGTGACCCAGTGCTACCAGCTAAAGAATATAGGCAGTTATGTCAACAATTGAGGGGGGTTTCATGCATCTTGGCACCAGGAGCAGAGAAACTCAAATCTAGTCATTTCTTACAAAAGAATACAGGCAGCTAAATGCACACACATTTTGCAATTACTTTTAAAGCATCTACACATACTGTAGTTATAGTCTCTTTAAGAAAATTCAGGGGCTGGAGAGATGGCTCAGAGGTTAAGAGCACTGACTGCTCTTCCAGAGGTCCTGCAATTCCCAGCAACCACATGGTGGCTCACAACCATCTGTAATGAGATCTGGTGCCCTCTTCTGGCCTGCAGGGATACATGCAGACAGAACACTGTATACAAAATAAGTAAATCTTAAAAAGAAAGAAAGAAAGAAAGAAAGAAAGAAAGAAAGAAAGAAAGAAAGAAAGAAAGAAAGGAAAAGAAAAGAAAATTCAGATGCCAAGATTTTAATCCCAGCACTCAGGAGGCAGAGGCAGAGGCAGAGGCAGGCAGATCTCTGAGTCTTATGCCAGCTTGGTCTACAGAGTGAGTTCCAGAACAGCCAGGGCTACACAAAGAAAACATGTCTTGAATAAACAAAAAAAACCAAACCAAAACACAAACAGAAAAACATGTTATGTCATTTTAAATAAATAAAAGGAATTACCTCATTCTTACATATTAGATAAACATGGTATTTATAATGATGGAGTGAATGGTATAATGAATATAATTGTATTTTCTCTGGATCAACAGCAAATTCCTAAAAAAGAAAGAAATTTACAGGTAACATTCATGTAATGTTAGAGCTAAAAAATATTAGATCCATAGTGAATTACAACCTGGAAAATGTCTTATATGGCTAGGTATGATGCTGTATTAATATACATGGGAGCTTAAATATAAATTATATTTAAAATCATCATGATAAATCTTTTATTAAGTTATGAGTACCTGTTACTTGAAAAACTAGCATTATAGAGAAATCAAAATAAAAAGCATGTAAGATAACAAAAGAATAAAAGCCTTTTTGTTGTTGTTGTTTTGAGGCAGGATCTTACTCTGCAGCTCTGGCTGGCCTGAGACTCAGATCCACCTGCCTCTCCCTCCCTAGTGCACCTCATTCTTAAAACTGAGCCCATGTGGCTGAGTCTGGCCTTGAACCCCTCATCCTCTTGCCATCTGCTTCCCAAGTACTGCATGTAATTGTAACCAGGAACTAGCATTCCAGATGCAGACTAACAGATTCTAATATGGCTTCAGAGATAAATGTGGCTGGTGGCATGTTACATAGTCTTTCATGCTCTTCCCCTAGGCTAGGCTTGAATATTTAAGTAACATTAATTTTCTCTTTATTTCTTCCTTTCTTTCAAAACAGGAACATTAATTTTCTGACAAGGAATCATCCAATAAAAGTTGACCTACAACATCCACTCCACGAAAGTTCCAACATATATTTTTTTAATCAGCATACAACTTGGATAACTTTGGATTTATTATATGTATATCATTCCATCTTTATCCCCCTAATAAAAAATATAGGAACATATGGATTTTTGGCTAGCTTTTACTATGGTATCCCTAGTTATTTATTACTTTAGATTATGTATATAGGTGTGGCTAAGCCACCTCTCTGCAGTCCCCTACTACTTAGAATTGCTTTTGTCAGTATAAATATACAAAGTGTTTTGCTGTAGTTGTCTGGTAGACAATCAATGGGTCTTCTTTTAAACCAAGCATCATGCATATTATTTTAATCCTAGCACTCCAGAAGCAGGTGCATCTATGAGTTTAAAGCCAGCCTGGTTTATACAGCAAGTAAGAAAACAAAAAAACACCCCCAAACCAACAAACATACCAGTTTTGTTTTGTTTTGAAGACAGGGTCCTGGCTGTCTTAGAACTCACAGCATTTCCATTGCCTCTCTCTGGGATTAAAGGTGTATGACACTGCAAACTGGTTCTTGTAAACTACTTTGCAATAACTATATTGTGTGTGTGTGTGTGTGTGTGTGTGTGTGTGTGTGTGTGTGTGTGTGTGTGTGTGTGTGTGTTTTAACTTTGTGTCTGTCACGCATATTCTTCTTTCTGTCTGGTAAGAAAGAGGAATTAAATTGTGTAAGTTTCTTTCCCACAGAGGAATGCTACAACTGCTACTGTAAGAACAGTTGCAGACCAGTAGCTGTGGAAACTCTTTGTGTTCATGAATGTATTTCTACAGAAAATACCCTTTTTCTTTGAGATAGGGTCTCATATAACCCAGGTTGTCCTCAAACTTCTGATCCTTCTGCCTCCCACCTGCCAAGTGCTAGGAATCAGGTATGCACCATCAGGTCTGAATTACTGAATACATTTTTTGATGTGAAACTGTTATAATGCAGAACTATTTTCTGAAAAGTGTGTAGTATATTGTAGACATAAACAGATGTCATTTTAGTGACTTTACAGATATATCAATATTCAATCTTATGATTTAGTGTTTACACACACTAAAACATGTGTTTCTAAACCATGTACAGGTAACTTTGAACAGGTACAAAATGATGAATTTTCTCGTTTTACCACAATATGCTCCAAAACATGTCACACAGAACACCTCCCCCACCCCCAGACAGGTTTTCTCTGTGTAATAGTCCTGGAACTCACTTTGTTGCCCCTGCCTGGCTCTGCCTCCTGAGTGCTGGGATTAAAGGCGTTCACCACCACCCCTGGCGACACATAAATATTTTTAATGAATTAAAAAGTTTTAAAACTATATGCAAATGTATAAACTTAAACATCGGATGATTCCCTTATTAGTTTATTTTATATATTCAGTGTGCACTCACTATTACCAGGTACAGTTCAATGCATACATAGAAGAAATAACAAGAATGTCCCATCCTCAGAGCACAGCTGCTTATTCCACCCCAAAGATGACACTTCACGATTATAATAGGCTTATTTCAATGGTGTCTTGGGAGCTGTGTTAACTGGAAAAGGTTTACATTCATTAAGCAATATGTACTTACCTGTGCAGACTTAGTGGTTGTTTTAGAAGTCCTTAGAGTTTTCTTATTATAAGTTTTGCCATTCATTTTTATTTTAGAAATAGCAGATCCTCCACTTTTTGCTTTAGAGTCTCGAGTAATAATTGTTAGTTCAGGAAAACTTTCCAAAGCATTCTTTAAAATAATGAAGGATAACAACTGACATCAGAAAACTGGAATTTCCAGCCATTCAAAATTTATATACACACAAATATGCACGCACGCATGCACGCATGCAGATGGTCACAATGGGATGTAGTTAGAAATCTTTGAACCTTCTCCCACAGAGTGCGGGTTATGTTTCCCATTCTTTGAATCTGGCCTGATTTATTGAGCATTCCACACGGAAGGAATCCTAAGTTATTACTAGAAATGTCCCTTTGATTTCAAAATAGGGAAAATAGGGATATATGCATTTCTTAAAATACCTCTCCCACCCTTACTAATACCCTGAACCAGAGGTAAACCAGCTACAGGGAGGTCATCAGACTCTAAATGAAGATGGGGACAAAAGATAGTAAGAAGAATTGTTGTTTTCTGCAGCACTCCTTTGGCTTCCTTGGACCTGAAGTGAGAAAAAAAAAAAAAAAAAAAAAAAAAAAAAAAAAAAAAAATAATCCTGAAGCAGAGTTTGATGGTTCTGACCAAAAAAAGGAGCTGCTACTGATGACACAGTAGCCACATGGCAGATGCATTCCCAGTCTAGTCTTCAAAACCCACTGACTTTTATGTCCTTACCTGCTTAGAAAGGCATTGTGAACTGAGAAGCTGCACACAATAGCACAATGATTCCTGAAGACAACTATAATGACTCTGATTACAGCTTTTTAAAATTAGATTTAGTTAGCAGCAGCAAGAATTATTATGCATTAAGGGTTAAAAGTGCTGCTGTTACACTTATGGGTCAGAATGTAATTTAACTTTCACTGTTCTCAGTTTCTATAAACAGGTATTGTGAACCTGAAAAGAGTATATTTAAAGAACAAACAAAAACTTTTCTTAGGTCTAAATGTAACAGGGAGCTGTCATTTGATAAATGTAACAAAACTTTTGGCATATCTACTTAAAAGCTACCACCAATTTCTACCTTACTACTTTCTCATGTTACTTGGGCTTTTATCATATACACCGGTGCTTTGCACTTAAAAATACCCTAGTTAAATAATTCTGCATCTAGAATTGCCAGTTACAACAAGAATTTAAAGTCTAAAAATTAGATTGTATATTTGAAACCTACTGGCACTAGGTCACTGGAGATAAAAGGAGAAAACTCAATGAGGACAAAATGCTAAAGACTCTTAAGGGTAAAGACAGAGCACCATTAACTTTGGAAGGTTTTATGACGTACTTTTAAAATAACCAAACTTGCGGCTAGAGATCTGTCAGTGGTTAAACACTACTCTTATAGTTTGGTTCCTAGCACCCCCATGGAAGTTTACAATGGTTTGTAATTCCAGGTCGAGTGGGATCAGACACTGTCTTCTAACCTTTGAGGGCATTGCATGCCTGTGGTGCACTTACACACATGGAAGTAAAACAGCCATAAACATAAAAGATAAATAAATCTTTAAAAAGGTACCAAGCTTATCATAGCAAGTAGAAGTAGAAGTAGAACTAAATCTTTCTGCTTTCTTTCCTTTATTTGCGAGCTGTGTACAGCAATGGACCTGGAACCTCATGTATTTTAGGCATACATACAAATGACTAAAAAATGGAATTTAAATATAAAACACAAAAAAGCTAAAAACATGCTAAACAAACACAGAACAAATAAACAACAAATCTTGTCACATTAAAAAAAAATTATAGTGCAGTGGCAGAGCACTTTGCCTAGTATGCATGTGAGGTCCTAGATTCAATTCCCAGCTTTGGAAAAAAACAAAAAACAACGGAGACACACACACACATTTTCTTTCTAGTTGTTTGGGACTGTCTGCCACTTAGGTTTGCTAATGTATCACCAAAAGGAAATACCTTGAATGGTTGGTCCAAATGAAGATTCACAAGAAGTCTTTTCCGGTTATCATTCAGCATTCCATCTATTTTTTTCATATGTGGTAAAAGTAGCTCATCTGAAATAATAATTTATTTTAATAGGATAAACTATCAACATGAATATTTGCTAACACCCATTTTTTCTTAAATCATCTGCATATTAGAAGACATTAAATTTGTTGGCTTGTGAAAAATACAGTTTTTAAGAAATAGGCATTTTGCCAGGCGTTGGGGGTGCACACCTTTAATCCCAGCACTCTGGGAAGCAGAGACAGGTAGATCTCTATGAGTTTGAGACCAGCCTGGTCTATAAGAGCTAGTTCCAGGACAGCCTCCAAAGCCACAGAGAAACCCAGTCTCGAAATAAAAACCTGAAAGGAGAAAAGAAATAGGCATGTAGCTTTCAGAGGTCAGCATGGAAAGCAGATCTATAATAGCAAGTGATAAAGCAGTACCTCTGCACAGCAATGGGATATGTTGCCAAGGTCTTGCATTTTGCTTCTTTTCTTCCTTTATTTTTTTTGGGGGGCGGGCAGGGGGAAGAGGTCTCATTATGTAGCCCAGGCTGGTATAGAACATAGCTTCATTCTACCTTCTTCAGTGCTGGGATTAAATGACTACATCACTATGCCTGGCACCTTAGCTCAACTGAAACAAAAGCATGACCTCTAGAAAGATGATTAATTTCTCTAAACCTCATTTATTATCTAACAATAGTAATACTACAAAATACAAACATACGAGAGTTCTATAAAACATTGAGTATGAACAAGACTTGTTCTTCTGGCTAGTAGTAGAGACGGGGCTAGGGCCTTGCACACACTAGTTAGGTAAGTGCCTTACCATTAATTATAACCCCACTCAGAGATCTCCTTGGTTTGTGATTGAGTCACAGATACTATCTAACTCTAGCTGGCTTGAACTCACTATCTAGACCAGGCTGGCCTAGAATTCACAGACATACACCTGTTTCTGACTGCTGAATGCTGTGATTAAAGGTGGGTACCATCACTGTAATCTGAGGCAAAGACAAAGTAGGGGAAGAAAAATTATTAGCACCTATTGTCAAAAATGAGTCAAAATGGTTATATTAGAAAAGGGGACAGGTGTGTGGTGGCACACACCTTTTAACTCTATCTAAACCCCCCAAAAGGGGGGGGGGAGTAAAAATATAAACATAACAAATTAATCATTTTTGATATTGTATTAAATACCTGAGGTTATTAGACTGTTAATTTCCCAGTACAGTACTGGCATATATTACATATGCCATAACATAATATATAAATAAGACAAGCAAGCTTTAGGGAAAAATGTCAAGGGTGGTGGCATACACAGTACTTAGCACTTAAAGAGTCAGAGGCATGTGGATCTCTTTGAGTTCAGGGCCAGCCTTGTCTATACAATGAGATGTTTCAAAACAAACAAACAAAAAAACCCCACAAGACTAAATAACAAAATAAAACAAAAGAGACATTAGTGAGAAAATTTTTGAAACAAACAAAAACATTTTGAATGTGCTCCTTGGAAGGCCATACCATTGCTCTTTTCTAGGGCTTGCATCGTGTCAGGATCCAGAGCAATGCTAACAAGCAACTCCATGTAACTCTTGAAAGTTTCCTTCATTGCTCTTGTGTTCAGAAAACGAGTGACAAAGGGAGCTGGAGGATTAAATTCTAGGATGAATAAGAGATGAGATAATAAATTTTTCTTTCCTGGTAATCTATTTTTCATTATTAACAGTAGACTATAAACAAGACTGAAGACACAATTTCTTCCATTTTGAGCCTCCTGATTATTTGTTTAGAGCAACCCAGATAGTGTTGGGGAAATGCCTCAGTCAGTCAAGTGACAACATGAAAACCTGAATTCGGATCCCCAGTTACCTATATTAAAAGCCAAGTGTGAGCCAGGCAATGGTGTTGCACACCTTTAATCCCAGCACTCAGGAGGCAGAGGCAGATGGGTCTTTGTGAGTTTGAGGCCAGCCTGGTCTACAGAGTGAGTTGCTCAGAGAAACCCTGTCTAAAAAAAACAAAAGAAAAACCAAGTGTGATGCCACACACTTTAAATCCTAGCACTGCGAAGCTGGAGGCAGAGGGATCCTTGGAGCTAGTTGGCCAGTCAGTCTTGCCTAATCACCATGCTCCAGGTTCAATGAAAGATCCTGTCTCAAAAAGAAAGGTGAAAAATAAGAGAGGAAGGCAGCAGACACCAATCTTTGACCTACACATGCACATATTCACCAACATACACATGAATATGCAAAGACACAGAAGCACAGACATAGATAGAAACATCCCAGATGAATCTCTGTGGCAGTACACACCTGCAATCCCAGCACTTAGGTGAGGCAGGAAGATCAGGAGTTCAAAGTCGTCATTAGCAACTTACCAAGTTTAAGGTCAGTCTAGTTCCAACATAAGAGACACAATCAATCACTGTACGGTTTTGCACTCAGCAGTCTTCAAAAGCATTAACCTCCCAAGTGCTGAGCTTATAGGCATGTGTCACCAGGCCAGCACTGCAGAGTTTGTAATACAGAACAAAGCCTAAACTGGTGGCTTTCTCAAACAGAACCTTTGCTAATGGTGGAGTTAAGAATGGTGTTAAAGCTTACACATATAAAAAGCTCCCCAGTTGATTGTGAGGCCTGACACCAATGTAACATCTGACACACAGGCCAGGTGGGAGAGCCAGTTTCTCTTCTGACATCCCATACCATAGGCAACTGCTGCTACTTCTTATAGTTGTAGTCCCAATGACTACTCTATGTCTAGTAAAGAAGCCAAGAGTTGGCATAGTAAAGGGAGGCAAAGGCAGGAGGCACGTTAGAAATTCAAGATCAACCTGGTCTGCATAAATTCCAGGCCAGCTAAGGCAACACAGTGAGAAATCAAACAGCCAGACAATAGTGACACTCAGAGGTGGGGGAAGGAGTAGAGAGCCAGGAGGGTCTCTGTGAGTTGAAGACCAGCCTGGTCTACAGAGTTAGTTCCAGAGTCAAGGGCTTCACAGTGAAATACTGTCTCAAAAAACCAAAACCAAAAAAACAACCAAACCAAACCAAATAAAACATTATAGGACACTCATGAACAGCTTTACAATATTTAAAGGCCTTACTGATGGTTATCAGTAGTGAAATTACTGATTTATTTTCCAGTACTGATTATTGAACTCAAGGTCCTATGCATGTCAGGCAAATGCTCTACTAATAAGACATATCCCCTACCCTCAATGTTATTTTGTAAATGTTCTAAAACAAAATTGGACCTAAATCTAAGACCTAAAACCAAAAGAACTCTAAGAAGAAAATACAGGAGATTTTAAACCTTGATTTCCTTGGATTGAGCAATGGAGTTTAACCATCACAAAAGCACAAGAAACAGAAACAGTAAGTTGGGCTTCCTCAGAATTTAGAATTATTTAAAAAGACACCCTACAGAATGGGAAGAAGTGTTTTCAGATCATAATACAAAAAAGGTTTAAAGCCCAGAATATAGTCAGATGAAGTGAAGCACACAGTAATACTGGCACTAAGGAGGCAGGGGGATCAGGCCATCTTGAAGGATATAGGGAACTGGATGCCATCTTGGGCTAAAGAGACCCTGCCTCAAAAACATATACCACCCAGAGACAAATATCAAGAAATTCTAAATTTAGCAACAAAAAGGACAAGGAACCATACCAATAAAAAGCAAGTAATGGAGCCGGATGGTGGTGGCACACACCTTTAATCCCAGCATTCTGGAGGCAGAAGCAGGTGGATCTGTGAGTTTGAGGCCAGCCTGGTCTAGAGTGAGTTCCAGGATAAATAGGGCTAGAGATTACAAGAAAATGGAGTAGGGGAAAATGGAAAGTCACTGTTTACATTCTGGGTGATAAGAGTTATGGGAATAAGCAATCCGGAGGGTACCACAATAATGTAATTAACGCTATTAATAACACACACACACACACACACACATCAAATATTAGCTGGGCATTGGTGGCACACACCTTTAATCCCAGCACTCGGGAGGCAGAGGCAGGCGGATCTCTGTGAGTTTGAGGCCAGCCTGGTCTCCAGAGTGAGTGCCAGGATAGGCTCCAAAGCTACACAGAGAAACCCTGTCTCGAAAAACCAAAAACCAAAACAAACAAACAAAATCAAATATTAAGCAAATATTAAGCAAAACTTGAGTAGCTATCAAATATTTACTTTTGTAAATATAAAAAAGGAAATGTATGAATTTTTAGACGATCTTCATCACTAAGCTAAACAATGTTTCTAAATGACAGTGTATATTATGAGACTATGATACATGAAACATGCACTCAAAGAACAAGACAAGCCAGCAGAAATTAATATAGCAGAGCTCAGCAGCGCAAGAACTATTAATTGTCAGCGCTAGAGCTAGGTAGGCAGTTAAGAGTACTTGCTGCTCTTGTAGAGGACCTGAGTTTGGTTATCAGGGCCCACAGGGTCATTCACAACCATCTGCAACTCCAGTTCAAGGGGACCCTATGTATTTCTGACCTCTGTGGGTACCAGGCACATACATGGTTTACATACATACTTACATGCAGGCAAAAACACTTATAGACATAAGTGAAGATATTGTTAAAAGCCTAATTGTCCATTTTATGTATCTGAAAAGGCAATTCCAACTCTCTTCCTCTGAACAACACAATTTTGGTTGCCATGTGCTCTTCAGACGTTAACCAAACTGACATAGAGTAACAAACTGAATGTGCAAAGGATATGAAAAAACCCAACTTGTTAATATATTTTAAACATTCTTAAAATTTAATTGCTACTTAGTAAATTTAAATAGACAGAGCCTATTTGAAATCCACAATGCACTTCAAAACTATAAAAGTATTCTGAAAGAGTTTAAAAATTACCATTATGCAGGCCAGGCATGGTGGTGCATGCTCTTAATCCCAGCACTCAGGAGGCAGAGGCAGAGGGGCAAAGAGGCAGAGGCAGAGAGGCAGAGAGGCAGAGGCAGGTCGATCTCTGTGAGCTTGAGGCCAGCCTGGTCTACACAGCAAATTCCAGGACAGCTAGGACTATACAGAGAATCTGTCTCAAAATAAACAAACAAAATAACAGAACAATAAGCTTTTGAGATAGTTCAGCAGGTAAAGACACTTGCTGTCAAGCCTGATGACTGGAGTGATTCCTGTACCCATACCTCACATGGCAGGAGGGAACTGATTTCCCAAAACTTCTCTCTGGACCTCCACGTGTGCCACGGCACATGCACATCTACACATGCAAGTACGCACACAATGTGAAAATAGAACCAGCATATAAATCCATATTATTTGACTTTAAAGCCAAAACATGCTGCTTAATTAGTGACACCTAGTGGTCTGCCATGTTATGTATGCAAGAAAATTTTTCCTTGTTACTTGAGGAAACTCTAACCACAACTTCAGAACGGAAGTTCTACTATCCTAAGCAATGAATACTGTTATCTGCAAAAAGTACAAATAATGCCTTAAATATATATACCGGGCTGTGAACTTCCTTATAAATACCGATATATGTATATATGATTCGACCATGAATATTTAATTTACACTTACTTATCTTGTATGTGTGCACACATTGCATGTTTGTCACAGCACTTATGTAGGTCAGAGGACAACTAATAACAACAACAACAACAGCAAAACCCAAACACACCTTTAATCTCAGCACTCAGGAGGCAAAGGCAGGAGGATCTCTATGAGTTCCAAGACAGCCTGGTCTACATAGTGAGTTCCATGACAACCAGTACTACATAGAGACCCCATCTTAAAACAAAACATACATTTAAAGTAATTTCAATACTGAGGATTTTATATATATTATGGCTCCAATTCTAATTAAATGGCTTCTAAGAATAGCTCTCAGACAATGCTAGATATCAATCTCTATTTGTTTCCTCTTCCATTCCTGCTGCCACTATTTGGGATTTGATACCATTTTTTGCCCAAAACTATGTCTAATAGTTAAATTTCATCATATTGCTTCCTACTTACTTTCCTCCAAAATTTCTCCTTTGTTTATGAAGAATACATGCTTTGCAACCTTATTATGACTTCAATGGTCTTCCCTTTTCCCTTCATCTTTACCTTCACAATGATATTTCAGGTTTTTGTTTGCCTTTTTTTGGAGACAGGGTTTTGCTGTGTATCTCTGCTGTCCTGGAACTTGCTCTGTAGACCATGCTAGCCTGGAACTCACAGAGATCCATCCACCTGCTTCTGCTTCCCAAGTGCCATCACTGTCCGGCTCATCATGGGTATCATACGGTGAGCCAGGCAATGGTGGCACCTGCCTTTAATCCCAGCAGGTGAAATCTCTATGAGTTCAAAGCCAGCCTTATCTACAGTTCCAGGACATCTAGGGCTACACAGAGAAACCCTGTCTTAAAAAAACAACAAAACAAACAAACAAAAACCCCACAAGAGTGGTGACTTTTAGTTTTTTCTGGTGACATGGTCCCTGTACCAACAACTCAAAACTGCCACTATAGCAGGAAAATTATATGAAATCATATATTTCCAAGCAGTATCTGTGGGGCTGTGTTCCAATAATATTATTCATAAACTTGAGTAGCAATCAAGCCAGTCTGCTAACCTCTGACATTTGCAGAACTGTTTGAAATTTCTTCCATATACTATACTATACTACATGTTTTCATAGCTATGTTTTCATAGCTAATGGAATGTGTGCTATGTATTCTTGCATTGTACATGTTTTAAATTCTACTATGTTAACTATTGGCAGGTATATTTAATATATTATCATACTGTACTAATGAAGTATAGATTGGATTGTTTCCTCCTAGAATTGTTTCTTTCTTTTTTTAATTCTGGCATACATACAGGTGTAGCCTACAGAATTTTTGTTATTGTTGTTTTTTTGAGACATGGCCTTATTATGAAGCTTGGGATATCCTGGAACTCAGTATGTTGACCAGGTTGGCCTCGAATTCAGAGATCCATCTTCCTGTAAAGAAACGCACCATGCCTGGCTGATATATTTTCTTTCCTTTAAGATTTATTTGTTCTGTTTATGTGCATGTGAACACGCGTCTATGAGTTTATGTGTACAACGTACATGCAGGAACTGGAGTTATAGGCAGTTGTGAGTTGCCTGATGTGGGTGCTGGGAATTGCCCAGATCCTCTGATGGCCACTGCACCATCTCACCAGCCTGAGGACTCAATGACTCTTAGTAATCCCCAGACTTAGTAGGCAATTGGCATTCTTCAGGCAAGAAGGTGAGTTCTGCCTGTCCTACTTTACAGAGGCCAAATGTGCTCTATAGGGTGTGATTAGTACAAAACATAAGTACCCTGTACAATACAATCTTCCAGTAAACCAATCAAATCTGAACTGTCCCCATCACCATGTCCTCCATTCCTGCACACTGTCTGAAAGTATCAGAATACTAATTTCTTGGGGAACTCACCCTCATCCTCACTACTGCTAGAACGGACCTCAGGAGATGATTCCGATTGTGATGATGAAAATTCTTCTTTCCATTTCTTCCGCTTCTTTGGTGGTGGTTCAGCCTTCATTTTGAGCTGTTTAACTTTGGGTTTTGTGGAAGGGGCTTTTGTAGTCGTAGTTTTTGATACTGGTGGGTCAGAAGTTTTACTGCTACTACTTGGCTTAGATGGAGCATTTCTGTAATGTTAAAACATTAACATCATTAAATCTTTTAAGATTGAAAAGAGATAATCTTATGATTGATAAGAAAAGCTTAAAGATACTCAGAACAACATTTTTATAATAAAGTCCATGAGTTACACAAATCAACAGTGACTCCCATAACAGTTTCTTGAAACAGATTGTTTGACACTGGCACTCTATGTTCAGTTATTAAGGAGCTATTAACTCAATCTTTACCCCATCAAACCCCTTATGGCTCTTTTCCAGAGAACTTAAGGTGCAGAAACCAAGTCTAGCCCTGAAGCTCTAGTGGTACTAGGTTCTGATCTGTCTGAGAGACTCCTGAAAATTTGTCCTATGCTGAATCAAGAAATCTGTGTGGTTAAATTCCATCATAACAACTAGGTCAGAAGCTTGAAAACAGGGGGTGATCTTAATTAAAATAGACCTGCATGACAGTAGTATGGTGATATATTGTCTATAATTTATTAAAGCCACTAGAGATCAAAGTAGTAAGCAGCCACACTAGTTAGCCATAGAAGCAAGGCACACACCTTTAATGGAAGGACTCAGGATTAAGAGGTTGACGGATCTCTGAGTCCAAGACCACCCTGGGCTACCAGAGAGTGAATCAGAGCTCACGACTTTAATCCTAGGATTTGAGAGGTATAAAAGGTAGAGGCATTCAGTCTGAGAATTAGTCTCTAGTCATGCTGCAGAGAGCATAGCAGTCTGAGTGAATGTGAGGAGCAGTGAAGTTGGGAGCAGTTTGGGGATCACCCCTTTGGTCTGAGCTGAGGTAGAGGTAAGAGCTAGTGGCTGGCTACTTTGCTTTTCTGATCTTCAACTTGAAGCTTGAACCCCAATATCTGTCTCTGGGTCTTTTATACTTTGTGTTACACAGTCGACTGGTGAGAATATCTAGGGTTATACACACATTCCAATGCCCATCACAGAGTAATACCAGTTACCTTCCACATTCATGCTGTAGACAACCTAGGCACATTGATCTATGATAAAAATTCTACTGTGTGCTGACCTATAATGCACATATCTGTGTGTGTTGCCACACCCCCCCGATTACCTTATTGTAAACTTGACATTCATTTATTACTTTCATTTCATGGATAGAAAAGAAAGATTCAGAAAGGTTCTGTCACAAAGAGCTAGATTTAAAACATTTGGCATTGTCTGTTTTTTTCACTTTACTATAGTAACACCAAAAAGATTCAAGCAAAGAAGGCACCTGCTCCACCACAGAAAGCCACTAGCTTTACTACACCTCATTCATGCAAAAGGGACTGCATTATTCTCAGTCTCTTTAACTGATATGATCCTTTGTACAGTAGTATACTCAAATAAGCACACCAATATATTCCATAAGAAAACAAATACCTGATAGCTTGTGAAGGCCTATTTCTTGGCTTTTTGGAACACACTCTGACATACTCCCTTTTGTTTGCATTTTCAATGACCTTCACATATATCCTTTTGTATTTAGTTTTTGCATCTCCAAAGTATCCGAGGTACTAAGGAAAGAAGTATTTGAATTATACAATAACATAATCTATACATAAATAATACTTTGTTGATCTCACTGCCAGCTATCCTTTGCATTTTCCAAAACATAGCCCTAATCACATTAGTTTTATCCTGAGAACGAGGGGGAACGAGGAGAGATTGTTGAATGTGTGAGTGAGAGAAGGAGCAGGTGCAAATGAGTGCAGGTACCTGAGGAGAAGCTAGAATTATGGGAAGTTTTGAGTTTCCTAACATGAACTCAGGTTCTCCTCAAGAGAATTCTGTGCTATAAATTGCAAAGTCATCTCTCTAGCTGTTATTTCATTTCATTTCATTTATTTATTTTAAATTTTGTGTACATGTGTTTGCGTAGATGTGTGCAGGTGACTGTAGGTATTCTCAGATATCAGAAGAGGGCACAGGATTGCCCAGAGCTAGAGTTAAGAGTCATACCTGCCATGAGGTTTCTAAGAACAGAATCCAGGTCCTCTGCAAGATCAGCCAATGCTATTATCAGAAATAGTATCAATGCATCTAACTGTACTCATTGCATCCCAGAGAATCAGTTTAGAGAAGCTGGTGGAATCAAGCATTTTACTTACACTATTTGTAGCTGCAAATTCTCTTTGCCCATCTCGAATTTCAGGAACAAATTTCTGTAACAAAGCTTTCTGTACTTTCCAAATAGCTGGGGGTTCTTTTCCTATAGTTAAAGCCTCCTATAATAAGCAGAATTAATTATACTTAGGAAAATATCAACACACTTATGTTTATAGAATATTACTGTGAGGAGGAATCTTTAAGGTCTACCTTAACTCAATTTTTCTTTTTTTGGAGGGGGCGGCGGCATTGGGAGGCTAAGAGGTGGTGTTGAAAAAGGGTTTGTGTGTAGCCCTAACTGAATTTAAACCTATAGAGATGGCATGCCTCTGAGTGCTGGTATTAAGGGTATGTACCACCCATGCCCAACATAACTTTCCATTTGTTATCTATGGCTGAGTTTCTACAATAATGAACCAGTGCCCACCCCCCATCCTTCTAGTAGTGGTATCAAACCCAAGGCCTTGATTAAACACGAAAAAAACAAAACAAAACAAAACAAAAAACAAAAACCTATGTGTCTCTGCCACATAGCTAAACCCAATAAACCCAGGCCATAAAAATGATTCTACTTAGTCTTGGCTTCAATTTTCCCAGGAAAAAGAAACTCACTGACATGAATCCCACTGCCCTTCTAAATAACTAATATGAAGATGACTGTAAGAAACTGCCAATGGTATTATTTTATCATTTGCTCTCTTTTTTTTTGTTTTGTTTTTTTGGTTTTTTTTTTTCCCCATATAGGGTTTCTATAGATAGCCTTGCCTGTCCTGGAACTCCCTCTGTAGACCAGGCTGGTCTCAAACTCAGAAATTCACTTGCCTCTGCCTCCCTAGTGCTGGGATTAAGGCGTGTCCCACAACTGCCCAGCCATTTGTGCAGTTTTATAATAGCCAAAACAATACAGTTGTAATGAGAGTTAACTATGAATGGTAGGATCATACACAGTTCTAATGTTACAGTCATCCTAGTTCTATTTCCTTGGCTTTCATCCCAATTTTAAAACAACACCAGAAAAAGCAAACAAACAAAATTCCAAAAATATTTTAAGTATGCTAGCTAGGTAGCTCATACCTGTTATCCCAACTCTTGGAAGGATGAATCAAGAGAACTGCCAGTAGTTCAAGGCTATCTGGGACTACATATAGCAAGTATAAAGCCATTTTAATTAATTGATTGATTAATTAATTAATTTTATGTGCATTATTTATTGTTTTGTCATGGGTTTTGGGTCCCCAGGAACTAGAGTTATAGACAATTGTGAGCTGCCATGTGGGTCTAGAAATTGAACCCAGGCAGGTCCTCTGGCAGAGCAGCCAGTGTTCTTAACCAGTCAGTCCACAGGCTGACTATTTAAAAAGAGCCTATCTCAAAAACAAAACTAACCAAAAGAAGTATGACTCAGATAGTTCTGTATGAATTAATTGTACCACTCTACTCATGGCACTATAATTTAAATTATGAGTTGGGCACTGATGATGCAAGCCTTTAATCCCAGCACCCGGGAGAAAGAGGTAGGAACATTGAGTGATTATGGCAAGAAAACTGCTTTCAGCGATAGTGATTTAGGAAATACTTTTCCCGACAATAGTGATCAAATTAATTAACTCGGAGGAAAGGGGTTGTCGCCCCCCCAGAAGTCTTTTTTTTCCCCTAAAGACTTTTTGTTAGGGGATAAGAGTAAGAAGTATTAGGTGGATCTCTATGAGTTCAAGGCCAACAGGATGTACAGAATGAGTTCCGGAACAGTCAGGGTACAGAGAGAAACTCTGTCTCATAAAACAAAACAAAATAAAAATTATGAAATTAAATCCAATTTCATGTTTATGTTAGTTCTGTTATTTTCCTTAAATCATGTAAACATTTTCTTAAACTCCTTCATAATATAGTCAGTTGGAAGTCTTGAAAAAAATTAACCAAACTGCTGTAATTTTGAACTTGAGCTGTAGCTAAGTGGTAACATGATTGCCTAGCACACACAAAACCCTGATTCAGTCCTAAGGACTGCATAAAACTATGTAAGGTGGTATATATCTGTAATCCCAGTATTTCAGAGGTTGAGGCCGGAAGATCATAAGTTCAAGGTCATCTTCAGCTCCCTGGCATGTTAAAGGCTTAACCTGTACTACACGAGACCCCATTCCAAAAAGCAAACATCAGCTGGTCTCTATAGTCCATGTCACACTGCCAACTTGGGCTACAGAGTAAAACAATTAATTAATTAAATTATAAATCTGACACCCAGTCTAATCTGTTACACAGTAATGTTTTGTAATGAATGACAAGTGTTCCATTGAAATCATCATGAAAACACAAGCATTCCAACTAAATTGGCCCTTTAACCCTGGGAACATTCACTGACCTTAAATGTCTCTATATCTTCTATCTTTACCACAAATTCATCACGTTCTCTGTATTGGCCTTCTCCTCCACTTTCTATATTTTCCTCATCTGTAAAACCTTCTATTGCAACTGTCTCTTGTCCTTTTGCAAACTGGTCTGAAGGAAGGCTATCAAGTTCGATGGCTTTGGGGGCTTCTGTGGAGTTTGCTTTTTCCAGGGTGTTTGCTGTAGATGAAGTCAAATGAAGGTCTTGTTTTACTGCACCAGGGGTGGAGGAAGTGGGAGCAGCACCAGCAGTCTCGGTAGATGCACCAGGAGTTGGCACAGATAGAGCTTCTGAAACTGAACCACACAAACAGAATGACAAATACTTTAACAGTTGCATGTTATGAGTAAAGTCCAAAACCTTAGCATAAGTTATTTTTGTAATCAACTGCTTGGAAACAATTCCATTGGAAGAAATAAGGAATCAAAGATGTGCAAATTCAATCTGGATAAGAAGACTACAGAGCAAACCTGCAGCTATGGCCTAACTATCCTTTCCTCAAATTACATTAAACTCACAAAGATGATTTCAAAGGGCAGAGACACACAAAAATGATAGAATAAGAAAGGACCAGATAACAAAAACCGTAAGAACTCCTAGAAGGATAACTGGATATGAAAAAGAAAAGAAGCAGACTCGAGAGCTGGCCAAGTGGTTAAGAGCACTGGCTACTTTCCAGAGGACCCTGCATAGATTTCCAGCACCTACATGTCACCTACTACTGTCTCTAATTCCAGTTCCAGGAGATCTCTGGCCTCCAAGGGTATTGGTATGCACATGGTAGACAGATTTAAAAGCAGCCAAACACTACGCATACGACAAGCACAACAACAACAAAACCCAAATACTTTAAAACAACACCATATACTAAAAATTTAGTAAATTAGATGAAATAGACAAAAGCCTAGAAAGACACAAACTATTAAAAATAACGCTGGAAGTTTGAAAAATAAACTAATTAGTCAGAATAAGCAAAAATTAAAAATCATCCTATAAAGAAAAAGCACAGGCCCCAGAGACTGTTAAATTCTACAAAGAGTGAAGGAACAGATACTAATACGTAATAAAACCCCAAAATAAGAAAACACTCTCCAACTCACTTTATGAGAGTCTCATTATGTAGCCTAGGCTGGCCTTGAACTCAGAGATCCACCTGCCTCTGCCTCCAGGGTATTGGGAGAACCAAAAGCATGAGCCATCATGGCCAGCAATAGTGTTATTCTAATAACAAAACTAGACAACATAATAAAAGTAATAGTAATAATGAGAAAACTACAGGTCAATATCCTCAACAATATGAACACAAAAATCTTAAACAAAATCCAGTGAACATATCCAGATGTAAAGTTATATAAAAGCTAGTTATAAAGCAATATTTACCTTAGGAATATAATTTACACCATATACTTTGTTAACAGTACAAAAGAAGAAAAAGGAAGAAAAGTCACAGGTAAATCTCATCAGATACAGAAAAGCATTTGGCAAGAATATAGTGCCCTTTCATACTACAAAAATGATCATCAACCTTAAAATACAAGTTCCTCAACATCAAAGCATGCTTACAAAATACCCACAGCTAATAATGAAGAAAACTGGGTGTTTTCCCCCTAATATTTAAAGAAATTATCTGTAGATAATATGACTTTATTTATATATATACATATAAACCCCTAAGGAATTTACTGAAAAACTATTAGAACCAATAAACAAGGGCAGAAAGATTGCAGGACATATTAAGGCCAATATTATAATCAAATATATTTATATACTGTTGCAATTAACAAACCAAAAATTATATAAGGAAAATAATTTCATCTAAAATAGCAATTGAACCAAATAAAATATTTAGTATATAAATATTATATTATATAAAATATTTAGTATAAATGTTATACTGTGAGAAACAGTAATGATCAAGAAAATATATACATTAAGATATTTACAGACAGGTATGTACATTAAAGTGTGTGTGTGTTGTGTGTGAGTGTGTGTGTGTGTGTGTGTGTGTGTGTGTACACGCGTGCATGCGCGTGCACACACACACATACATACACAGGTACATTTTTCGAGTCAGGGTTTCTCTGTATAACAGCTCTGGCTGTCCTGGAACTTACTTTGTAGACCAGGCTGGCCTTAAACCCAGAGATCCACCTGCCTCTGCCTTCTGCTTGCTGTATTAAATGGATGTACCACCACTGTCCAGCAAATATCACTGTATTTACTACCAAATGGCTTTCAACAAAAATAACAAAGCATTGACTGGAAAAAGATGAATCTTTTCAACAAATGGTATCAGGACAACTAACAGACACCTATAAAAGAGTGAAGTTGAACCTTTACCTTGTTGTAGCACAAATTCTAATTGGTCTTAATAAATAATACTCAGAGTCAGATACAGGAGTTAATGCTGAAGATCGAAGTAGTAGCATAACTGTTAGCTACTAACTCTTCCTCTACCTCAGGCTAAAGGGACAATACTGTCTCCATGAATCCTCAGACTAAATGCTCTCTGTACAATACCTCAAATTGCATCTTCAGACTGCCCCACACTCCTGTCTTCTCCCACTTTACATTCCCATCTCTGCTTGGCTAAGCCAAGCCATTTCCCTTCCTGTTTCCACCTCCTTAGTGCTGGGACCACCTTTGTGTGAGCTGTTTCTCTTTTAGACTGGATCAATTTCCTGTAGGCCAGGGTTACCTTGAACTAACAGAAATCCATCTACCTCTGTCTCCTGAGTTCTGGAATTAAAGGTGTGTTCCACCACTGCTGGGCCTCTATGGCTAACTAATGTAGCTAGCTTTGTACTCTGGTTTTTAGACAAGCATTATTTGTTAGATCATAAACAGAATATCACCACACCTTGTATCATATAAAAAAATTAAATAAAAACATCTAAATGCAAACCCTTAAGTTATACAATTATTTGAATAAAAACAGGTGTCAATTCTTATGACATAAGTTAGGTTATGATTTTAGCATACCACCAAGTGCCTTTGGGACCAAAGAAAAACAAAGTGGACTTCATTAAATATATAAAACTTATACATCCTATAACAACTGTCACCAGTCAAGTAGATGAGAAATGTTTAAAATTAGGTATTTACCAGAGATGTGTATCTAGGATATAAGTAGAACACTCACAGTTCTGTCATATAAGACAAATCATCAATTTTTAAAATGGGCAAAGGGAACTGCAGAGATGGTTTAGTGGTTAAGGGCATCTACTGCTCTATCAGAAGCCAGACTCCAGCACCTCCCATTGGGTGCCCGGCAAAACCCTGTAACTCCAGCTCCAAAGGCTCCTTCTGACTTCCATGGGCACCTACACGTGTAAAATAAGCCATTTTTTAAAATGGGCAAGGGATATAAACATATTTGAGCAAAATATTAAAAATTATCAATAAACTGGACATGTGGCACACACCTTTAACATGTGAGTTCAAGGCTCTCTTGGTTTATATACTGAATTTCAGCCAGCCAGGGCTATATATTGAGACCGTATCTCAAAACTTGAGTAAAAAGGCTGGGCATGGTAGTGTATGGATTTAATCCCAGCACTCAGAAGGCACAGGTAGACAGAAGCTCAAGGTCAGCTTGGTCTACACAGTGAGTTCTAGAATCTAGGGTAAATACCAACAAGCACAAAAGTTCATTCAACACAAATGAGAAAAATGCATTCAGAAGGTGGAGGCAAGATCAGAACTTCCAAGGTCATCTTTTGCTACAGAGTTTCAGACCAGTCTAGGATACATGAGACTCTGTCTCAAAACAAAATAAAAATGTAAATAAATACATTAAAAAACAAAGCACCAGGGGCTGGAGAGATGGCTCAGAGGTTAAAAGAACTGCTTGCTCTTCCAAAGGTCCTGAGTTGGGTCCCCAGCAACTACATGGTAGCTCACAACCATCTATAATGAGATCTGGTGCCCTCTCCTGGCATCCAAGCATACATGTAAGCAGAATACTGTGTGTACATAATAAATAAAATGATAAAAAAAGAAAGGTAAAAAAAAAAAAAAAAAAAAAAAAAAAAAAAAGCACTCATTTTTTTTTTTTTGAGCCAGGTTCTGTTCTACCCAAAAAGACCAACTTAGCTTTGAACTCACACCTCTGACTCAAGTGCTGAGACTATAAAGGCACCTGTCACCAAACCTGCCTCGCTCCCAAAAACAATTCTTAAAAGAAATTTATATTCCAAATAAGTGAAGGGAAAAAGTGTAGCAATGCTATATAATGTGGCACTAGTGATATTAAAGATGAAAATTTCAAGTTACATACAGTGTATCTACATGTATAATAAGAAAGTGTAAAAGAAAAGCAAGTGACATAGTGGATAGCTCACAGGTTATGCGGTGGGCTTAACTTACTATGTATGCTTTCTAGAAAACAGCATTTAATATAACAATTTTCTTTCTTTACTCCACATTCTAGCCACTTTCCCTTGTTTTCAATGTTTGCCTGTCTGTTCCAAGTAAGTGTTCATTCAGTTTTAGTTTCTGTTTTAAACAGAGAATTATTTAGGAAGATGAGTACTTTGTTCATTTCCTTGCTAAATTTTGCTTACGAAATTACTACATGGTGTTCAGGAAATATGGATATCTTGGACAATGCCTGTATTTTCTTTTCTTTTTTTTTTGGGGGGGGGGGTTTGAGACAGGGTTTCCCTGTGGCTTTGGAGGCTGTCTTGGAATTAGCTCTTGTAGACCAGGCTGGTCTCGAACTCACAGAGATCCACCTGCCTCTGCCTCCCGGGTGCTGGGATTAAAGGTGTGCACTACCACGACCTGGCCAGCACCCACATGGAAGCTCACAACTGTCCATAACTCTTGTTCCAGGGGATCCAATACCCTCAACGACATTCATTCATGCAGGCAAAAACATCAAAGTATATAAAATAAAATAAATGAAAAAAAAAGAGTAAGAACTTCAATATATAGAAACAAGTTAGAACTTGGATTAGGATTCCAATAATACAGGAAAAAATGGGAAGAAATGACAAATAGGACTATGCAGAATTACAATGTTTCTGGACAAAAAAAACAACTGTAAGAGTGAAGAGAGAACTTCAAAAATGAAAGAAAAGGGCCAGAAAGATGACTTAGCAGTTAAGAGTACTGGGTGATGCCAGGTAGTGGTGGCACACACCTTTGGTCCCAGCACTCTGGGAGGTAGAGGCAGGAGAATATCTGTGAGTTTGAGGCCAGCCGGGTCCACAGAGTGAGTTCCAGTACAGCCAGGGCTTCACAAAGAAACTCTGCCTTGAAAACCAACTAACCAAAAAAGAATATTCATCCCTCTAATCCCTGGAGGGATTAACATGCAGAGTATATAAATAACTCCAATCATTATTTTTTAAATTACTTTATTATCTCTTCTTCATCTGGGTGTTTATCTGCATATGTTTATGTACTATGTGCATGCCATGAAAGTAAAAAGAGAGCGTCAGATGCCCTGGAAATGGAGTTACAGATGGATTTCAGTAAACACATGGAAGAGCAGCCAGTTATCTTAACCCCTGAACTCTGTTGAGGGATAATTTGATCTCACTGTGAAACCCCAAGACTGTGTTAATAAAATTAACCTTGGATTAGGGGGCAGAACCAGTGACTAGTAGACAGGAATTAGCCATAGAGAGGACAGAGGAGCCAGGAATACGATAGAGAAATGCACAGGAAGGAATAGGGAGGAACTTAGAGATTCTCAATCTTTTTTGGTTTGGGACAGCTGGGCCTCTGGTCAAAAAGGAAGGTCAGCTGGTTGCTTCTTGGCTTCTCTAATCTATTAGGTTCTCACCCCAGTATCTGACTCCTGAGTCTTTATTGGTAAACAGAACAGAGACTTAGTCAAAACCTACATTTACAGTCAGTAGCCTAGTCGGTGTTGATAGGACAGGGAATCCAGCCCAGTTTAATCTGAGTAACAGGGGGCTGGCTTCCGGCAGAGGGCAGATGGTAGTTAAAATATCAGCAGATTCAGGTGCAGCCACTAAGCTGACAGAAAAACAACAGAACCTCAGACCCCTTCAAGAGTTATTTAAACAGTAAAAAATAAATTAAATTCAAGTAAAAATGAAACAATGAACTGAATAGTTTGGAAAGTATATGGCTATCCATATGTGAAAAAAATCAAAATCCTTAGCCATCAAGGAAATGCACATTAAAACTACACTGAAACTCTATCTCATCACAGTCAGAATAGCTACTACCATCAAGAAAATAAACAAGCCAAGTGTGGTTATGGACAACTGTAATCCCGGTACTTGATAGTCTGAAGTTTTTAAAAGTTGTGGGCCAGCCTGGGTGATAGTGAGTTACAGGCCAGACCCTGTCTCAATAAACTAAAAGAGAGGCAAAGGAGGTTGGGGGAAGGAGGGAGACACACAGAGACACACTTACACAGACAGAGAGAGAGAATGCATGAATGAAATCACATGGGAGGATTTAGGACAGGAGTTAGGAACACTATACACTTCTGCCGACTACTGGGAATGTAAATTGGTGTTAATAAAACCACTAAAGAAATCAAGATTGAGGTTCCTCAAAATACAAAAGAAAACCTCCATGAACTAAAACTAGAATCCTATGATCCTACTATGCCACTCCCAGGTTATCTGCCTGAAGATACCTTAGTCAGTATGTAGCAGGTATCAGGATTCATGACTACTGTAGCACTTATAGCAAAGAGATGAAACCAGAGTAGAATGTTCATCAAGACATGAGCAGATGGACCTCTGAGTTTAGGCCAGCCTAGTCTATAGTATAGAGTTATTTCTAGGACAGCCAAGGTTACACAAAGAAAAAGTGTCTTTTAAATACCAGGGGTTGGGGGTATATACCACATTTGAAGGAAATGTGGTATATACACACAATGGGACAGTGGGGTTACACTGCTGAGGGAACAGAATGGCACAACGATGTATGATTATATCAGAGATTACAAAAGGTTTGTTCTATAAATCTAAGAGGAAACAGAATAATAAACTACAAAGCATTCTGAATTGGAAGTAACTTAAAACCTTACTAGGATTGTCCACATCCACAGTAATACCTTTAAATCCAAAGACTATCTGACTTCGTGCTCATTTTTCTGTGCCATAAAATCAGTTGTGCTTTTTTTGTTCAGTTGATTGACTTCGCTTTTTTGAGACAGGGTCTCACACCAAGCAGCCTAGAACTCTCTATGTAGATCAGGCTGACCTTGAATTAAGGTATCTTTCTGCCTCTGTCTCCTGAGTGCTGAGATTAAAGGCATGCACCACCACACAAAGTTTGTTTTTTTTTTTTTTGAGGCAGGGTTTCACGAAACTCCAAATAAGAATCCTTTAGACATATTTAGTATCAGGCATGTATGTTAGCTATCTAGGATACCAGGTGTTTCACATCACTTTGGTGAAGACAGACTCAAGTCCAGACCCTAAGATGTATATTAAAAAGAGTTTGTCTTAAAACTCCTGCCTGTACAAGAGCTCAGCAGGATTATAGGCTCTAAAATCAGTCAAACCCACGTTCAGATACCAACCTGTCACTTGCTAGTCACTAGTAAGATGGGCTTCAGTAGTTCACTTACTCTGTTATATCATTTGTGTACATCTCTCTATTTTTAATGATGTGCATGTGTACAATTGGGTACAAGAGTGCAGGTGCCCAAAGGAGCTAGAGGCATCAATGGCCCCCTGATGCTGAAGTTACAGGTGGCTGTGATACTCTCAACATGGATACTGGGGGAATCAAACTCAGGTCCTCTGGGAAAGCAGTATGTGTTCTCAACTCCTGAACCACTTCTGCAGCCCCTTCTCGTGAGCACATCTCCTAACCCTTGTTCCTGGCAGAGAGGTGTTGGCGAAAACTTATGTTTTCCTTAACCTGTTCCTTAAAATAGTAAGCTGTGAGCCGGGCATTGGTGGCGCATACCTTTAATCCCAGCACTCAGGAGGCAGAGGCAGGTGGATCTCTGTGAGTTCGAGGCCAGCCTTGTCTACAGATCGAGTTCCAGGACAGGCTCCAAAACAATACAGAGAAACCCTGTCTTGAGAAACAAAAAAACAAAAAACAGTAAGCTGTGGCTGCAATGGTGGCTTATGCCTCTAATCTTAGCACTGTGTTCAAGGTCAGCCTGGTCTACATAATGAGACCCTATTTCAAAAGCAAAACAAAACACACACAAAAAAGTGTTACTTACCTGCCAACTGTTTATCAACAGCAGTGCTTCTTAAAAATCTTTCTTATGCTAATCAAATGAAAAACTAAGGTGTCTATCCCAAGATTTGGGAATATAGTGAGAAGCCAGCACAGAATGTTGACCAGATTAATATGCACTTTGTACACAACCACATCTAATATTACAATGCTAATCTTTGGGTAAACTGGAACATTAAGAAAATATGCTAGGCTTATATAAGAGGATCTGTAATATAATGCTTCCTATTCTAAAACTGCCTTAAGATGTCTACACTTGTAAAAGTGCAGGTAGCAGACTAGTAAGGTGGTATTTGTGGCATAACCAAATTCCTACATGTAAGAAAAATCAAAAAGCAAAATCCCAAGATATTTCTTGTCCATAAGATGTATTTGCAGAGCTTCATACAACCAATAAGGTTTTAAAATGTACGCCATAGCTAAAAAACTAATAGGATGTGACAGCTGTGAATCTGTTTAAAACTTTACCTGTTTTCTTTGTTTTATCAGAAGTAGCATCCAATGCAGTTAAGGGAGCAGAGATGTTCTTATAGGCATCATGGCCACACATGCCAGGATCTTCCTCATCAGAAGAAAAGGAAGATAATTGTTCTAAATTTTTAAGTTCATTGTCAACTTTTTCTGATGGACTGACTCCTCCAGTATCTAGTGCTGATGGCGCAGGTGTTGCAGGTGACATCTTTCCAAGTGATGGGGGATACAAGGTACGGGTGACTTGGGTTCCTGATCGTCTGGTCCTATTAGGCATTCGAACAGCAAGGGTAGAAAACTGTTGCTTGGGCCCACACTTCAGGAAGTCTAAAAAAGAAGCGATAAATCCTGTTTTGACCTCTGGCTGCTTTTCCTCTACTTCTTTGATCTTCTGCCTCATCTTTTCTTGATGCTGGTAACCTTCGTCACAACTTTCTGAGGAAGCAGGAGTGTATGGTAAATACATGTCTGTACCTCTGGGGTTCTGGCGCTTGCCTTGGGCAGACTTTTTCATTTGTTTTTGATTACTGTCCTCTTCCTCTTTACCTTGTCCTTTTCCTTTAGCTTTTTTCTTTGGAAGGTTAAAATATGTGGCATCTTGCTTTTCATCTTCAGTTTTGCCACTGGCCACATCTCCAGGCTGGGCCATGGCCAGCAGTGTAAGTGTGTTCCTTCTGTGATTCCCTGACATACCACTGTCATCACCTATTAGGGTAAAATCATTCTCTGATGCTGCACTCTCTCCACTTATGCTCTGGCTAGTAGACACAAACTCTTGATTTCTGTTATTACTTAATGCACTGTCAACAGCAATTTCACTATCTTCTTTAGATTCATGATTCAGAGTCAACTGTTTCTCAAATGGGTCAGAACTTTGCTCCTGCACTTCATGACCTGGTCCAACCATGGCTGAAGGTGCTTTAGTTGGTATATTTTGGACAGGTGTTTCCATGTGCTGTTGATCAAGGATTGTTTTTGACTGAAGGCTGGGTACTGATGAAAGGTTTACAGTCACCTGATTTCCATTTAAGGAAATGTCATTAATATTCTGTGGCTTTCCTACTGTAGCTGTTATGGAGTTGAAATCTGCATTCACATGCCTGACATCTAATGATGGCTGAAAAGGAGATTTCGAATCACTACCTTCAACTGCCTGCATGGTTTCATTTGAAGTGGACTTGGAAAAGTCAGAAGGTGTAACCCCACAAGCTGCTGCTGTAGCTGCCAAGATGTCATCTACATTTGATAAAATATTTCTCTCATCACTGAGAAGCATTGCCTCTGGGAAGCATATTGATCCAAGAGAAACAAACTGATTCTTTGAATCATGTTGACTGGTTTCACTGAAAGGGCCCTTTGTTGCTAGCTGTTGCAAAGGTTTTGAAGGTTCAGGGAGGTCTAATTTCATAATATCAGAACTCTGAGGATGCAGCTGCTGCTGCGGATGCTCACCATTGCGCTGGATGATATGACCATCCATCTGAAGGAAAGGGTGGACGACCTGTTGAGGACTCTCAACACGATGTACTTGTAAAGATGCCTTTGCTGATCCCAGGCTTGCCTGTAGAATCCCAGCCTGCTGAAGTATCTGTAAGTCACAGGCAGAATCTAAAAGGACTGGTGTATTAGGAAGAGCCTGATGACTATGCCCTAAAGCATGATTTGGAATCTGTAGCTGAGATGAGGCACTAATTATTTGATCATGCTGTTCCTGAACCTTGGCTTCATGCATCTTCTGTATGAGAGAATGCTGCTGGCTGAGGTCTTTAGTACTCAGCCTTATCTGTGGAGCTTGCATTAAATTAGTTGCCTTCTTAACATCAGGGTTTACTGTATTATTGGGCTGGCCACTTGTCTGGTTAAGCTGTGTCACTGGACCAACCATGTTTTCTTCTTGTTTTGAACCCTGGAGAGCAACTCCAACAACCTGGTCTTCAAGGTGGGAGTTATTTCTGGTTATATTTTGAGAATATCGGTCATCTGACTTCGATGTCTTATAAATTGACTCAGGAGCATTCACTTCTCCATCAGGTAGCCTTTGGCTTGATGACTCAAGAGATGACTGTGACTGCAATGCCTGTAATTTTTGCATCGGAAAATCATCATCTTGCTTTGAAGGCGTATACACATTTGAGTCAAGTTTTCTCTCAGCGTAAGACTTTGGATCAGGTGAAGGTATGCTATTCTGTATTGCCTGACCATGAGTAGAAGATGCAAAAGGTGACTGCACAGCAGACAAAAACTTTTGGGGCTGAGGTGGTGAAGATCCTTGGGTATGAGTGTTTGGGGATGAATGCATAGAAATATAATTTGGTGTTGGGCTAGAATCTGGCAAGGTCTGACCTCGAGAGGCAGAAGAATAAGAAAGAGAAGGGGCTGTTAATGTCAGAGACTGTCCTGTCACATAGCTTTCTGAAGGGCTAACAACTGATAAAACTTGCGATTGAGATGAATAACTGACCTGTGTTTGGCTAACTGGTGATAAACCCTGAGAGTGACCAGATGAATAATTTTGAGACTGACTGGCTGATGACAGGTCTCTTGTTTGAGCAGGGTAATTCTCATTTGTAACTAAAGATAACACTTCTTGCTGACTGGATGAATAACTAAGTGTCTGATTTTCAGAAGTTACAGGCTGAGATGACCCAGAAAAAGTCAATGTTTTATATAAGGATGGCAATTTCTCAACCCTGCTGGACCTATAAACTTGTGAATGAACAATAGATGGCACATTATGTGGTTGCACTAAACCATAATTTTGGGACTGACTGACTGATAAAAGGCTGGGTAACTGTGCTGTAGAATAAATTTGTGCTTGACCTGATATTACAGAACTCTGGTTATGTAAAGGCTTAGAATAGTTTAGTGTTTGCACAGGAGGAATTACACTTTGAGGCTTCGGAATTGTAGTTGATATTAGTGGTTGTTTTGTAGAACAGCCGTCTACTTTTGTAGCAGAAGGAAGATACCCTGATGATGGGATTACAGATGAATAAGACTGAGCAAGTTCTGCTGAGACCTGCGGAGTCTTTTGTTGCAATGCTCCATTGCTCACCTGAGTAGAATCTCGAATTGAGCTACAGGATAAAGATGACTGTCTGGATGTTTCCTGAAAATTACCAATACTTGCACTTGATAGATAATTGTGTAAGGGATGCTGTGAACCAGTCAGTTGTGCCTGAATAGACTGGGAACCTGAAGGCCGCTGGTGGTGTTTAATAACACTACATTCTCGAAGAAGGGCTCTTTCAATGGAAGCAGCAGAACTAGTAAAAAGAGCTGAACTGTAGGCTTGAGGGGTTTGCTGAGCTCCCCCAAGTGTTGAAGGCAACAAACTAAATTGAGGTTGTAAAAGATGGGGTGCAGATTCTTGAGCTGATCGATATGTTGAAGACTGAGGTGGTATGCTGTTACTTAATGCAGAACTGCCCAGGCGCTCAAATGCCAAAGCAGTTGGAACAGTTCCCTGGGAAGTCTTAATTTGTAGCAAAGGATCATGAGTATTTAAAATTCCATTTGATGTAGTGTTAAAAGATGAATCCTGAAGCACCAAAGGTGAGGTGGTCACAAAGTTTCTATTGCTAAAGGTAGCAGGGTGCTGGTAAGCAGGCAGAACAGGTGGTGGAAGTGCTCCAGTGGTTGGCAAGGGTCCTGCAACAAACAGCTCAGCTGCTGCTGAGGAATGCATGCCTATGAAGAGAACATACAAAACCTTTATGCAATTAAAGCACTCATATTTAAATAAATATTGACACAGTAGTGATCGGCAACGCTTAGCCCATAAAAATGTCTATGGGCTAATAAAAAGTCTTACAAATTAGATTTGTATGTAAACTTTTAAAATTACATTAAAAAAAAAACAAACAAACAAAAAACAAAAGACATGGTTTCTCCTGTTTAGCCCTGTCAGTCCTAGAACTCACTCTGTAGACCAGGCTGTCCTCTAACTTAAAGAGATCTGCCTATCTCTGCCTCCTGAGTGCTGGCTGGTATTAAAGGAATGACCTAACACCATATGGCTTTTAGAATATTTTCTTAAAGTAAAATCAAAGTTCTGGAAGCGTGACAGCATAAAAAGGAAGCTGATGAGAGGCTGCAAATGTTTGTCTTTGAAGGATATCTGATTCCATCTATGAGGAATGTCCATTTTCATAGATTAAATGAGTGGATAGTACTAAAAAAAATTTTTTTTTTTTTTTTTTTTTTTTGGTTTTTCGAGACAGGGTTTCCCTGTGGCTTTGGAGGCTGTCCTGGAACTAGCTCTTGTAGACGAGGCTGGTCTCGAGCTCACACAGATCCACCTGCCTCTGCCTCCCAAGTGCTGGGATTAAAGGCATGTGCCACCACCACCCGGCAGTACTAAAATATTTAATGCAACAATTTATATCTATAACATTTAAAATAGATGAGTTTACACATAGGGAATTGGACAAATGTCATATGAAAATGGAAGCCAGGAAAAGTGTACATAATTCTTTAGCAATTAATTTACCCCAAATTCCTAACATAAGATAATGAAATAAAATGTATAAAACATCAAAATTAAAACACTAAATTGCCTATACCTAACATAATAAATAAAAAATAATAGAGATGTTAACACCATGTTATTTCTTTTTTGTTAAACCAAATTATATTCATTGAAGAAATCTCTTGCATACTGACTGCATGCTCATGAACTGTCTAACAACCAAAGATACATAATTGTTATGAAAATTGACAATTAATAAGGACATGTCTAGAGGCTGTACATTTAAGGCAGCATTTTTTTTTTAAAGATTGTATTTATTTATTACGTATACAACATTCTGCTTCGATGTATATCTGCACACCAGAAGAGGGTACCAGATCTCATAACGGATGGTTGTGAGCCACCATGTGGTTGCTGGGAATTGAACTCAGGACCTCTGGAAGAACAGCCAGTGCTCTTAACCTCTGAGCCATCTCTCCAGCCCCCGACAGCATTCTTATTTAAGATTTATTTTTATCAGTTTTAATTAACTATAGATTTCTGTGAACATGTGTGTGTTATTTTTGTTTTTATTTTATTTTTTTGAGACAGGGTATTTTACTACATAGCTTTAGCTGAACTGGAACTCATTATGTAGACCAGGCTGGTCTCAAACTCACAGAGATCCGCCTGCCACTTCCTTCCTGAGCACTGGGTAAAGGTGTGCTCCACTATACCTGACTCTGGTTAGATATATATTAAACCTCCAAAGATGCAAGAAAGAAAAATGTGTTTGTCTATTATCATTAAAGCCAAACTTTATCTCATTTTTATTTTAGCATTCCCAATGCATAGACGTCTTATATATTATGTTTATAAACCAAAATGTGAAAGTTGATTTTTCTTCTTATTCACTCAATATACCTAGAATCATAATATACTTAACAAAAGAACTATTACCAGTTGCTTGAGGAGTGGTGGCATAACCAGGAAGCTGATGAGAGGCTGCAAATGTCTGTCTTTGAAGGATATCTGATTCCGACTGTGAGGGATGTCCATCCTGATAGCTTAAATCAGAGAGGAAAGTATTAAAATATATAATACAATAATGTTGTAAAATATAGTAAATATATAATACAAAGCACAATATATAATTTTTATGCACATACCCCAAATGAGATAATCAAACTATATATAGAAGAGCAACTAGCAGTTGTAAATTGCTTTAGCCAAAGAACATATGAAACTAGCAAAAACCAAAAGTATAAAACGGAAATAAGGGGCTGGAGAGATGGCTCAGAGATTAAGAGCACTGACTCCTCTTCCAGAGGTCCTGAGTTCAATTCCCAGCAACCACATGGTGGCTCACAACCATCCATTATGAGATCTGGTGCTCTCTTCTGGCCAGCAGGCATGTAGGCAGAACACTGCATAAATAAATAAACAAATAAATAAATAAATCTTTTAAAAAGGGGGAGGGGCATGCAGATATACATGGAAGCAGAATGTTGTATACATAACAAATAAATAAAATCTTAAAAAAAACAGAAATAAACTTCACAGGTAGGGATGGAAGTGCATGCATATGTTTATTATAGTTTATATGCTGGAGTATACCCCTTTTAAGGACCAGGCTCATTAAATTTTATAAATTAGTGAATCAGTCTAATAAGCACACTTCAACTTAATCACCATATAGGCAGTATCAAAACAAACAACTTTTAAAACTAGTGTATTGGTTTGATAGAATAATGCTTTGCATTTTCTTTTCTTTTTTTTAATAAATGCTTTGCATTTTCATATTTCCCATCTTCTATACCTATTTCCATCCAAGTTTACATTCCTCTTCAAAAATAATTCTAGAGAGATGGTGGCACATGCCTTTAATCCCAGAGTTTAGAAGAGGCAGGCAGATCTCTGTGAGTTCCAGGGCAGTAAGTGCTACACACAGAAACACTGTCTCAAAAAAAAAAAAAAATCCTATATCGTGTCTTATATTTTCTAAATATACAGATTTTTTTTAAATATTTTATTTATTTATTATGTATTCAACATTCTGCTTCCATGTATATCTGGGCACCAGATCTTATAACGGATGGTTGTGAGTCACTATGTGGTTGCTGGGAATTGAACTTAGGACCTCTGGAAGAGCAGTCAGTGCTCTTAACCTCTGAGCCATCTCTCCAGCCCCTAAATATACAGAATTTAAATTGGTGAAAATACTGTATAAAACAATGGTTTCACAATGAATGACATTTTTGTACATGTATGGCATGTACTTATATAACAGTTTCCTTATCCATTCATCTACTGATAGACACCTAAGCCAGTATCACAACCTGGCTAATGTGAATACCGACATTCTAAACAAGATAACCAGCACTGTAAGTATCTCTGCCCTATGCTTTGACACCTTAGAGTATACCACCCAGGAGTAGTATAGCAGGGTGATAATGATAGTTTTAGTTCTTTGAGGAATCTTGGGACTGATTGCCACAGCATGTGGACTACATAATTCATATTTGCATAGAAAGTATATAAAACACCACACTTCTACATGTTTTATTTTCTTGATGATAACCCGGAATAAGATGCAATCTTAGTGTGGTACACATATAATGGTACACTGTTCAGACTCAAAAAAGATGAACATAGAAAATATGAAGCAGAAACTAAACACAAAAGAGATGAGTCCACATGCAATTCATTTGTATGAAATTCTCAAGTAAGTAAATCCCTGGAGAAGCAAGGATCACTGTGCTTGTTAGGGACTGGGGCTAGGACAGAAAAAGAAGCAGCAGCTAATAGGAATGTGGTTAATTATGGGCTGAGGAAAATGGACTGACAGCTATACAACCTGTGATGACCCAGTTATCAGTGTTAACTGTTCCTTTCTGTGCAACATTATCATTAAGAAGATAGTCATAGTCCATTTCAATGACTTTCTAACAACCAATGGCTAAGAAGGAGATATTCAGCTTCATCTTAACACAGCTGACAGCCAAGAAGGTGCCACAACAAAAGTACCAGCTCCTAGTAGTTTTAAACAATGGCCAATTTATTTTGTCTTAACTCTAGACTGAAAAGAAACTTGTCAGAATACGGATACTGTTTATAATTCCTGTATTTGGACCAGCTTATAAAGTAAGTGTGTGTGTGTGTGTGTGTGTGTGTGTGTGTGTGTGTGTTTAAAGTTCCACATAGCCTTTCCTAAGACCTTTATTAACCCCCCCAAACCAAAACTATTATTTAACTGCCACTCTTTTCTCTATTTTAAGTATAACCTTTCTCGAAAGTTGTAATCCAATTAGCATTAACCAAGAACACTAAGTTTCATTAATTAATTGACTATTATTACTATGATGTTGGGGGCATACACATATCACAGCACTTAAGTGGAGGTCAAAGAACAACATCTGTGGAGTTGGTTTACTAGAACTTCCTTTAAATGAGTTCTGTGATTGACTTCAGGTTGTTAGATTGGGCAGCAAGCATCTTTATCTGCAAAGCCATCCTTTGTTAGCCTACCCATGTCTATATTGCTTAAGGAATAAAACACAACCTAAGTTTAAAAATCAATTAATCAAAAGTCCTCTGAAATGTGTTAAATCCTAGATAAACAAGCTAGAATTTGCACATAAGGGGTTAAGTTTCTTAAGCAATCAGTGAATGATTTTGTCCTAAGAAATTATGTCACTTTGCTCTCTTTGTGTTAAAGAATTTAGCCACTGGAAACTAGAGTACAAAGAAAACAGCATTCTCTTTAAAGTTCCTTTTTCTTTGCAGGGCGGTGGTGGTGCATGCCGTTAGCCCCAGCACTTGGGAGGCAGAGGCAGGTGAATCTCTGTGAGTTGAGACCAGCCTGTTCTACAAGAGCTAGTTCCAGGACAGCTTCCAAAGCCACAGAGAAACCCTATCTTGAAAAAGTTCCTTTTTCTTAAGCCTTGGCAATATCATCTTTCCATGGTTGAGGAAGATAAAAACCCAGGAGTGCAGTCAGGAGCCCCTGAGTCTCATGTCCTGATTACACAATTGCTCCTGCAACTCTGAGCAGAGTCCACAGCCTTCTTTTTCAGTATAGAATTTGGGACTAGAGAGACAGCTGAATGGTTAAGAACACTTGCTGTTCTTGCAGAAGACCAGGGTTCAGTTAGTTCCCAGCAGCACATGGCTGCTCACAACCATTTGTAATTCTGGGTAACCAGGGTTTCTGACACCCTCCTCTGGCTTCCATGGGCACCGGGCACACACATGGTACACATACACACACACACACACACACACACACACACACACACACACAAATGTTTTCTTAATTAAAAAAAAAATCTTGGGGTGGAAATGACTCAGATGTTAAGAGAAAGTACTGTTCTTACCTAGGTCCTGAGTTTGAATCCAGCACCCCTAGCTCACAAATGCCTGTAACTCCAGCTCTAGATGATCTGATGCTGACTTCCTCTTCTGCACTCTGTGGATACCTCACTTATAAAAGCACATATCACCACAACCCCCCACACACACTTAAAATTAATTCTTAAAAAAAAATCTGTACAAAAACAAAAACTAAATCTATGGAATTAATCTCATGTTTGTACCCTAAAATTTCTATAACATTTACTAGCCAAACATTCTACAAAACTTTGTTTTGGCTAATCATAGTCTGAGACTTAAAAACAAAGCCCCATTAGCTTAAGAATGATTATTTATTACAAATCTGAAAAGTAATTAAGAATCTTTGCAACAACTGTTTCTCTTTTTTTGTTTTTGTTTTTGTGTGTGGGGGTGTTGAGACAGGGTTTCTCTGTGTAGCTTTGGAACCTGTCCTGGAACTCCCTTTGTAGACCAGCCTGGCCTTGAACTCACGCCTGTCTCTGCCTCCTGAGTGCTGGGACTAAAAGTGTGCAACACCATGACCCGGCCTACTATACTCTTGTGACTACCTCAGGTACCAGGGACACATGTGGTACATATGCAGGCATGCAAAACATTTATATACATAAATCTAAAACCCACTTTACAAATATTTTAATAGAACACATTTTAAATTTCTTCATTTTTATTTTATTCTTTTATGAATATGGGTGTTTGCCCTCTTGCCTGGTATCTGATCTTTTAAGTTCTGAGCCATCTCTTCTACTCAACCTCTGTAGTATTTTAAAAGAAAAGTATAGCCAAGTGGTGGTAGCTTACACCTTTAACCCTAGAACTCGGGAGATAGAGACAGGCAGATCACTGTGAGTTCGAGACCAGCCTGGTCTACAAGAGCTAGT